CCTTTTGTGGGTTCTTCTTCTTCCACTGTTTGTTAAACATGGCGCTGCCGCCGTTAAGCAGCTGATGCAAAGTGTCAGAAGACGTGCAAGGGAGGACCGCACGAGAAACTGTCAGCGGTGCTAACGCGCGCGAACACAAGCCCATCACGTGCGATCCCGACTTAAATAAGAACCCATACAGATGATGAAAAAGTCCTTGCCTTAACATTGAATCTAGTTAATATCAACTGCTATAGAAGGCTCTTCCTTTGTAAGGGGATAAGCCTATTACCGCTTATACACTGTTATCCTACGGTTGATAACCTCATTAGCTTGTCACATATCGATCCAGACCCTAACCCCCATTGCCACCAAGTCCACCCTCCCCCCACTCCTTGCTCAGAGTCCACTTCACAAGCTCCATCAGAGATTTCAATCTTGTGCTCTCCCACTCCAAATCGAGGGCAATAAATTAGGCAAATTGCACTTTTACTCTAAACTATATATGGCCGATCGGCTGAATTCAAATGGACTCAAAATGCAAAAGGCTTCTAATGTCAGCACCTGCTGCTTGTTGCAGTGTGTGCGAAAGGTGTTAACCGCGATGTGGCTTCCAGCACTGTGATTATCTCTTTCCGATAATGCAACCGCAGACATGCAAAAAAAATACTCCGTGACAGCACAATAAACTTTCCGAGGCACTGCCTGGTCATGCATAATTGATGATTTTAATATGTTCAGCGAGCTGCGAACGCTCTGCCGACCAAATTATCAATGCAAAAAAGAAATTATTGTGGAATATTTTATGCCTGCGTGATGAGCAATGATGATGACTCCTCATTTGCAGCGGCAGAAGGCAGGGGGAGATGGTGTCAGCTCATTAGAATACTGAGTGCGCCATTTGCGCTTGATCTTTCTGCATGGCGTGAGTTCTCAGTCGGTTGTCAATTAACACTGACAATAACTTAGAAATTGGTCGGATGAGGCTGCGAGCGGGCACAGCTCGACAGCGCTGTCACACTGCGCATGCAGGCGGACGGGCGAGCCGTGGGGAGGGGCGGTCGGTGCGGGGGGGGGGGAAGGGGTCAGGCACTCCGGAGGTTAGGAGGAAGTGACGAACTGATCTGACAGCTTTCGTCTGCGGCGCTGGCCATTAGTCCAGAGTAAGCAACGTCCTCGTTTAATAGAGCCGGCTGATTTGTGGTTAACTTCTGTAGCCCTCGCCCAATTTCATATCTGCCCAAAATGAAGCTCGCCTCAATAGCAGGTGTATTTCACAGCTCAGATACACTAACATTACAGGGTAAACACGCTAACGGATCCAAATTGATTTGCTGGAGCATTAACCCCTTGTTAGACTGGGTCACCCTCCTGTGTAAATGCTTAAGGATCCAAACCGGGTGTTGGTGCTTAATTCGAACGACCGGATGTTTTTTTTTTAATCCTTCTTCCAACGTGACAAGACGATCCATGCCTCGTTTTTTTCATTCTCTCATTCGTGGGGGTTGCCGTAAAAATAAATACAACTTTGCCACTTGAAAGGGCACAAACTTTAGGCATGCAAATGCGTTTTGTTTTAAATTAAATTTGTATTTTGAAACGAGGTTTATTTTAATTAGGCTAAAGAAAAAACACATCGGTAATACATTACCTAATCTTGTTTATTTCATATTAGTCTAAATGTACTTAAGGTATACAAGAGCTCTGAGAATCCAATTTAGCAATTTGATCTAAAAAGCCTGGGTTTTATATGAAGGTACTTAAGCTCATTTTCTAACTAAATTGCTTGTTTTAATATACAATATCTCTCACTGGAGGCAACCCATTTAGTAACCAAATGTTGTAAAATTAACTGTCTACAATTTCAATGTTTTAATTATAATTGGTGCATCACACCAGTAATTGTCACTAAGCTACTAGCTATTAAAGATAATCACTTTAAAACTTTAACATCCATATATACAAGACACTGTCTTATAGAAAAGTCATTATTGCGCACATACACTCACGGCATTTTTTAAGCCGACGGGACACATCTGTGTGTGTGAGCACGTGAGCATGCATGTGCTCGTAAGTCTTTTTTTTGTTCTACAAAAAACAGTAACACGGCGAGATGGTTAACAGATAAGGGAGTTAAGAGATCAAAAGGAACTTGAACCATAAACTGCTGAAAGATGTTAACATTTTTTTTGTAGCACAGATGTCCTTGATAATTATTGGATGCTGGGCTTGAGACTTGAAGTGTTTATGGATGTTTTTCATGAAGCTATTCATTCACACAGGATTTCAAAGATGATGCAAATTACCTCTGACTGGTATTTAAAACTGACAAATACCACTTACTCTTGATGTGTTAAATCGTTCCTTTTAAGTCATTGGTGCATAAAATGTGAAGAAAAATTGTCAAATCATACCGATGATACTGAACTTGTCACGAGAGAGCTCTTTTTTGCCTAACCATGGAATTACAACCCAAGCAATCTGGCTCCAGACCAATGCATTTTAAGGAAATTTGCAAGCATTTCGGAAAACCTAATATTCTGATTATGTAAATTGGGAAGGTACTATATTATATTCTACTTTTTCTCTTGTTTATTTACTGTCAAGCGGGTACACAACAACCTTTTGTTGAGCCCTGCATACAGTGTTGTAAAGTGCTAGCGAAAAAATAATGAAAGAAACGAATTAAACCAATTTTTTTTTCACGTGGAAAGATCACGCAATTTAGTTTTAACAACCACATTAGAGACACCATTCTATTTGTATAAAACTATACCACCTGCTCTGCAAGGTTTCACATTTAAAGTATTTAATGCAGCTTTGATTTAAAAAAAAATATTACAGGGAAAATTTCTAGCAAAAATCAGTTCTGTATTTTATCTGTACAGTATTTTTAATTGTGACGTGCACTGGATGTATAAAAGGTCTAAATGATTTCTGGATTAAATGAGCAATAAAGGCGATGGTGGAAATTTCTCATTCCTATGGTGGGGGCGAGGCTATCCATAGGACAACCAGTGTTGATTTCCCCACAAATTGGCACCTCTTTTAATCACACTGGAGGGATGATGGGCCCATGTCAACCACTAGACAGGATTTTAAATCACAGCCTTCTCTGTTTGCAAGCCGCTCGCTCTATCGCTGCACCACCTGGGCATTTGGCGCTCTCAATATATATCTCTCTGTGCATTGCCACAATATGGCAGTGATGTTTCAATTAATAATCTGGGGTTCATTGTAGTCTCCTAACATCAACAGAAACTCTCGATTATCCTAATTATTTGGTGATGCTGCATTGGCAGTATGACATAAATAACTGAACACATTCCTCAATAACAGTGCCTTAAAAAGAAAACAATATATATATAAAATAGGTAACGTTTAGGACAATGGCCCTTCTTTCATGGCACATGAATAGAAAGTCCACAGGGATAGTGGCTAAGAGCCGGAAACTGCACTTTACACCGTAGGAGTCCTGATGAACATACATTTTTTTTTAAATCCTTGAATGTGTGTATCTGCCGGTCGAGTCACCCTTGTACAAGATAGCTCAATGGGCTTTACACTTCCGATTCGTCCGATTCGGTCCTCTTGACCCTCGCTGATTCGCATGTCCATGTTCACCAATCGTCTCCGCCCAAGTGTCCGGACGCGCCAGGCGACCGGTAAACACGTCCCACCGCGACGCAAATGAAGACAGACGATCTTAATTACGAACAAAAAAACTCGCCACACGCATTCGTCAATAACACTGCCCTAAAAGTAAATTATACACATAAGAGGTTAACGTTCCAGGCAATGGGCCTTGCTCACGGCAGAGCGGGAAGAGCAATATCGACGAATGCAGAGAGTTTGTTGCTTGTGCTCACGTGCCACTTCCAATGCGTGTACGACAATTTTGTTTCATTTTAATCAGCGCTAATACACACAAACACGCACGTAGACGCACGTAAACGTGCGTACACGCACGCAAATGCACGTACACGCGCGTAAATGCACGTACGCACACAGGCGCGCAAGATCTCGATCTTAATTTGAAGCAAGCAGCGCTATACATCACGTGGAAAGTGTTTACTATTCATCAGGTTCATGCAGCGTGCAACAACTTAATATGCATTTGATCAGGGGAGATTGGTAAAACGTGGAAATGTGGGCGGTGGTGGGGTCAAGGCACGCAGCATAAAATACCGGAATCAAAAATCCCCACAATGTACACCTCCTGCCATTATAACAATTTAGCGGGGTGCACGCAAAGTCAAGTTCTGGGGTGGAGGCCACCCATTTCCCTTTGATAACAGATGACACCCGATATGAAAATGACTTAAACAAATTATTAAATCCTCGACAATTTTTTTCTTGCGTCACGATAATCAAAGGGAGATATAATCTAAGGCAGCAGCAGCAGCAAGTGTAAGCGAGTTTGTAAAATAATTCAAGTTTGTTTTTTTTGCTACATTTACAAGAGGGTAAAAACAACAACAAAATCCCCTAAAACGAATTTAGCGACGCTTAAGTGAATTTGTTTTCGTGGTTTGTCCCTGCGTGGCGGGGCAGGTGAGAGGTGACGTGAGCCCAGGGTGGGCTCTGTGCGGCACCAATAGCCCAGAGGTTGTTAACCTCCTTCAAAACTGCATGTCCATTCAATTGTCCCCGTGCTTAATTGCAACCGCACGCTACTTATTCAGGCTTACGAGGAAAAGCGGCGATTTGTGGTGGGTTTCAATGCTCGTAATGATCACAGTTAGCGGAGTAGCGAGATTTACCCTGCGCGTGCAGCCCCAATGCACTTAGCGCTTTTATCCTGAACACAAAGAGTAAAAAAAAAGAGCGTTTGTACAGTTATTCACGTGCTATTTGAGGCCTAATTGAGCCAAATACAAATTGAAATATGGGTACAAATGTAAGTTTATTCTATCCAAGTTTTGCGAAAGGTAATTTAAACGTTTAGTCAACAAAAAAGCTTTTTTCGCTGGCCGCACTCGCCCACCGCGCTCGCCCCGTCAAACCTTACGGACGCTCACCTGTGCTACGGTTTCTCGAGCTCGGTCACGTACAGCAGGTGATCCTCGGGGGACTTGCCGTGAGCCTTGCTCAGGTGAAGCTTGACGGCGTGGCGGCTCGCAAAGCTGCGACTGCACAGCTTGCACTGCAGCGTCACCCCCGTCACGTCCTCCTCCGAGCCGCCCGCCAGCAGCGACGGGGACCGCGCCAGCGGCAGCTTCGGAAGCATCATCTGCTCGCAGATCTGGTCCGCCGAGATCCTCGACAGGTCCCTCAGGTGAAAGCCCAGGTGGGTCTCCAGGTGGCTGACGTACGTCGAAGGAGTCCTGAACTGAGAAGCACAGTCGTTGCAGTAGAACACCGGGTGGCCAGTGTCCATGTGCTTCAGGAACTTGGTGCCGCCGGTCCTCCGCAGCTGGTACTTGACGTTGGCCAACCAGTGGCTGATGGTGGTCATGCCGAGCCCCGTGAACTTGCTGATGTGCGCCCGGTCCTGCGGGCTGAGGTCCGAGATGACGTACTTGCCCTCAGGCGTCTGGTGGAGGCAGGCGACGAACTGCGCCTGCAGGATGAGCAGGTGCTGCGGGTTCCAGTTGGACTGGCGGCCCTTGCGTTTGTGCGTGGAGGACACCTCCTCCACCTCCTCCAGCGTGCTGCTGCTAGCGTCCGTCTCCGAGCGCTCCGAGGTGGTGCTCGCCGGGGTGGGCGGCTTGGGAGTCAGCCGCCCGGTCAGGTTCTTCACCATGTCCGACATGTCCGAGAGCGCGTTCTCCCCCGACGCGGACGGCGACATCAGCACCCCCGGTGCCGGCTTCGGGCTCTTTGGCACCTTCTTGGACTTGGTCAGGTCGATGGGCTGATCGAGGTTCGTCTGGTAGTAGCACCTCTCGACCTGGTCCGAGTTTCTGCTCTGCAAGGCGGGCGCCGACACCAGCTTGTCCAGCATGCCGCTGCTCATCTTGTACAGCATCGCCATCGGGTCCGGGACGGGCAGCGGCGGCTTCGATATCTTCCCCAAGTGGAGGTTCATTATCGACTGCAGCGCGCTCAGCGGGTTGACGAGAGACTCCTCCGAAGGGTGGTCAGTGATGATGTTCAAGCTGCTGCTCTTCTCCACCGCGATCTCCTTCTTCACATTCGTCCCGTTTTTAAAGAGTTCGTTTCTGGCGCTGCCGTTCGCCGAAACCTTCTCCGCGGGTTTTTTGCTCGCGATCTGCTGCCGGAGCTCCCTCTTCGAGTCGTGGCTGTCGTCGCTCCTGCACGGCGAGGAGGCTTCCGAAACCGAGGACGGAGACTTCACCTCCGTCTTGATTTTCTTGCCCTCCACCTTCTTGAGGTTCTCGGAAACCTTCTTGACGAGCTCCTCCATCGCGTGGACGTTGTTCTTGAGCGGTGGCGGCGAGCCGGCGGGCGGCGTCCGGCTGCACGAGACGGGCGCCGCCGAGCCGGCCTTGGGCGCGAGCGGCTTCACGTTGGCCCCGTACGCCGGCTTCAGCGGAGTTTCCTGCGCCGGGTTTTGAATGACGGACTTCACGGCCCCCGGCAGCTGGTACGCGGCGTGGATGCTGGGGTAGCCGCCCCAGGTCGGCGTGCCATTCTGCGCCTTGTTGATGGCCGAAGCCACGGTGTTCTCCAGCGACTTCAGGATGTCCAAGCCCGTCGCGGATGTGTCCTCGAGATCCTCCTCCCGGAGATACTGAGACGAGAGGTCGTAGTCCTTCCTCTCCCTTTTCTCCTTTTTCTCCTTGTCGCTTTTCTCCTTCTCTTCCTTCTTCTCCTCCTCCTCCTGCTGCTGCTGCTGCTGCTGCTGCTCCACCTCCATTTTGAGCTCCTTGTCCTCGATCTTCAGCTCCTCCATGGAGAGCTTCTCCGACGAGTTCACCGGCGACACGGCGGAGGGCGGGGGTGACCTCGCCGGAGATGCCAACGGCTTGACGGGCGAGCTCGGCGGGGACAGCGCCAGCTTCGGTGGAGAGTCAGCGGGGCACGGCGCGTGCCGGCCGCTCGCGCCGGGAGGCGACATCACGGGCTGCGCGCTCGTCCTGGACGGGGAGAGAAGCGGTTTGGACGAAGTGCTGGACGGGGAGGAGAGCGGCTTGGCCGGGGAATTCGCCGGGGTTATGTGAGCGTGCGAGATGTTGGTCGGGGGCAACGGGACAGACTGGATCTTCACCTCCGCCAGCGGGTCAAAGATCACGTGCTTTCCCTTCTTAATGTTGGAGTTGGTGACTTTCATGAAGTGTCCCGTCACCATCATGTGGGCGGTGAGCTGCTGCAGCGTGTCGTGGGAGCTGCCGCACTCCATGCACTTCAGAATCTGTGACTTTTTCGCCTCGAACTGCCAAGCGTAGCTGGCGCCGTTTTGGTAGCCGTACCGATTGTTGGGCGTCACGTAAGGGTTGGAGGACTTCTGAGACATCCCCGCGGCCGAGTCGGACGAGCCGGTGACCATGTTGGCGTGGCCACCCCGCGTGTCGGGCGTGCTCGCGAGGAGCGGGTCCATGTAAGGCCTCTTCTTCATGGCCGGCGTCAGCTTGGACGACGTCACGGCCGACACGGGCTCCTTGAGCGGAACCTTCTGGTAGTGCTTGGTCTTAATCATGTGCACGCTGAGGTCCTGCAGCGACTCGAAGGAGTGGCCGCAGTACATGCACTTGAGCACCTTCTGCGCCTCCTCCTTGCCCTCCATCTCCATGAGGGAGCGCTTGCGTGGCTTGGACCAGCGCCGGGTGCTGCTGCTGTCCTTGTCGTGGTTGTCGTCCCTGTAGTGCCCCGTCTCGTTCATGTGCACTGTCAGCTCGACGAGCGTGTCGTACGCCGCGCTGCAGTCCTTGCAGCGGAACTTGCTGGCGCCCGTGAAGATGGAGCCGTAGATCTTGCCGCTCTGCCGGTACAGCTGCACGGTGCTGAAGAGGCTCGGCTCGTTGTGCTGGTGCGACATGGCGACGGGCATCGTCTGCTGCAGGGACTTCGCCAGCGCCGCCTGGTGCCAGTCGAACCGGTGGTTCGCGGCGTTGCTGGCGCTCGTCGTGCTGCTCGTCGTGCTGCTCGTCGTGCTGCTGTCCGTGTTCACGGTCGTCGGCGCCGCCGCCGCCGCCGCCGCCGCCGTCGCGGTGGAGGCGACGGTGGCGGCGATGGGCTGGTTCAAGCTGTAGCTCAGCGCCGACCAGTAGGGGTTGGCGAGGAGGCTGGCGTACGCCGCCTTCATCTGCGCGAGGCTGTCGGTGGCGTGGCCGACGGGCACCCCGTTCTCCTTCTTCTTCGGCTCCTCCTTGGCGGCGCCGCTCTCGAAGTCGGCCAACCTGTCGCTGGACTCGCTGAACTGCGACTCGCTGTCGGCATCGCGGCTGGACGTCTCCGCTCTGCTCGGGTCCTGGCAGGGGGGCGGCTGCGGGTGGTCCTTGGCCTCCTCCTTGCGGTCCTCCCGGAGCTCCTCTTTGCGCGAGTCGTCCGCCCGCTCGCCAGACTCCTCGCGGAGCTGCGGATCGTCGCGCTCCTTGTCGCGCCGCTGCTCCTTGAGTTCCTCGCCGGCGTCTTCCTCGCCGAGCTCCTCCTTCATCTCCTCGTCCGTGCACTGGTAGTCGCTGGCCGATCCGTCTTCCGTGTCGGCCCCATCGCCCTCCTCCCTCTCGAACTCCCCGGACTTGAGGTCCTCTTCAGAAAGGTACGCTGCGAACGACACACGCACGCACACGTTTAAACGGGCCAAGTTGGAACGTAAGTTAACGTACCAACATCGTTTCTGCAAGAAATATCACGCGTATATATTTTCAATCACTATAAAGCACGATAGTAAATGAGAATTCCTCTTGCAAATTATCAATGTTTGGCGCATGTCGTGACGGGTACTGCAAGATCAGACCACGTCCCTCCAGTGCTCGCCGAGCTGCATTGGCTTCTGGTTTCCGAACGAATACGTTATAAGGTCGCACTCATCACGCACAAAGTGATTGCCACAAATGAGTCACAAATGAGCCACAATCCCTCGCTGATTTCATCAAGGAGCATAAACCATCACGCAAACTCCAGTCATCCTCTCAGCGGAATTTGGCTGGCCATCGAACATGATGATCACTGCATCGTGCGCTTTCAGATGCGCTTCTACATCTCCTCCTTCAGATATTAGGAAGACACTGGAGCTATGCACCTTTAAATCTAGAGTGAAAACTAATTTCTTTAGAACTGCTTTTTGCGTTGAGTTTGTTGTCCTTCCCCCCCGCCGCAGCTCCGATTGGCGTGGTTGGCTACGTACGGTGCCAAAGAAGTTCAACATACACGCGTACGTAAATGACCAAAGGTTACAAGTGCAGAGCAATGGAAGTGTTCAGGCGTGGTTCCAGTGTTTGGAGCAACGCATTATGTAACTGCAGCTGGGTTTAAAGGTAAAGAGGTTAAAACATTACAAAGAGTTAAGAAAAGTACATATCAAATTACAAATGTTTTATGTTCAATTGAAGAGATCTTCCAATCCGCCCCAGTATCCACAATTTAATTACACAGACCTTGAAGGAGCATTTGTCACTAAAAAATCTGATCAAGGAACTGTCAGGTAATGCTGAGCTCTCACTCTGTCAATTATTCACTAATGATGAAGCATTCAGCAGGGCAGTGGGGTGTGCATAGAGAGGCCTGCCTGCTAATCTGCCCTGGGCTGGTCACTGCCTGTCCCTGCGCAGAGGTCATTTAAGTGTCAAATAGACAGGTTCTCAGTGGTATTGCTCACGCCACTGTTCGAAAAGGCAAAAAAAATAAAATCCGCGCGGCTCCCCTGCATCTGCGGCTCGCCGCGAATTCTCGCGTGGCGTGCGTGTGCGTGAATGCGTGTGCGTGAATGCGTGTGCGTGAATGCGTGTGCGTGAATGCGTGTGCGTGAATGCGTGTGCGTGAATGCGTGTGCGTGAATGCGTGTGCGTGAATGCGTTTTCATGCCGGGACACCGAAAGGAAACGCTTTCTTGGGAAAAAAAAAGTACCCTACAAAATACTGCATCATCACGGGCGGAAAGAGGCGAACCAATTTGCGCAACTAATAGCCAAGATTATTTTTGTCAATACAATTTTGTCGCAGTCAATGATTCGGTGGCAGTCATTTGTTGCACACTGCTTTCTCCGCAGTCGCAAGAAGCCTTGAACTTGCTCACGTGACAAAACTCTCATCTGACAACCAATCTCCCTTTCTATTTTTGTTTCGCAAATCTCGTTTCCATATTTCTGGGCACCTTAATTTCCCCATGGCTTGCGAGATATTGCAAGCAAATGCCCGCAAGCACTGCTGTCTTATAAACATACACTTTAATTATTGCCATATTTCGATTATTTGCATATTAACCTAAACTTTTGAAAGAAACGCCAACAGAAACTGGATTCAAAACGTCCACACAATGATGTGGCCGACGCAGTGCTCAGCGACGACTCTTTGTGAAGTTAACTCTTTGTGGTTTACTGCGGTGCAGGAACATGTGATGCGTGTTGTAATAAAGCCAAGTGAGAACCCACGAGTCGGAATATCGCTTTAGCAACAAAAAAGGGACCTCGGGTATAATAGCAGAATGGACAGCAAATTAAACGTGAATTGTGAAGAGGGGGTGAAAAGAATATATGGAGAAAATGATCTTTTTTTTATAACAATATAAACCGTTAGTAACACGAGTCTTAACAATGGAATTAAATAACAAAAGACAAGTTATTACTTTCATAAAAGTAAAAATCAAGGGTCGGTGACCGCAATACTGTAAGAAGCCAACTGCCAAATTGACTTACCTATAATAGATGCGCAATCAATGTCCAATTAGTTGTACAAGAGAACCTTGTCTTTGCAAACTTATTGTTCGTATCTTTACAAGAGACTTTCAAGACGTGTACAGAGAATCTTCCTGCTTTGCACCAATTTGTACGTTTTTGTTTTAATGTCCTTGATTATAGTTTCACCAATTTCCACTTGGGTATTTTAGCCTTTACATAAAAAAATGGTCTTACAATACCCCAGTAATTAAAATGTATGGCCTGGAAAATGTTAGTGCAGCAGTTTGCTCTAAAGATCGACTTTTACCACAGTGCAGAGTTTATCCTCTTCAAGAAAGGAGATGTCCTATACTTTGGACTCCTATCGTGTTTTTATATTGTTTGTTGTTGTAACAAGACGAGGCTCAAAAGAAAGCTGTCTCTGGTGTGGACCAATCAGTTTCAAGGACAATAACATATATTATCAGAGTATGTTTTTTGTTTGCATTCTGACCACAAGTATTGTGGTTAATGCAGACATGTTTCCATGTAAAAGTTTACAGTTTGGCGTTTAACAACTTAACACCTGTTTTGTTGCCAGAAAAAAAGAGGAAAAACCTATTTTCATGTTCTGACTTGCTCCTCCTTCTGGACATGTGTGAAAAAGAGCTTTACAGCTCATCGGATTCCTCCAGTATAAAGAAATATTCTGCTGACTCAGCCCATCATCCCTCTGGGTCAACATGAGTAATAGTTTGTGGGGAAGTGAAGAACAGTTATCCTAATGTAGAGCCCTCGCCTCTGTCATAGTCACGTGGAATTTACACCGTTGACTCATCTGAGATGGCCACTGTCTGAATACTTTTATGGGCAACGAATCACTTTGTGACAGATTTTTTTTGTTAAGCATTCGTTTAATAAAGCAACGTCTGGAATGGAGTTCCGAGCCCTCTCGCTCTCTTCAGCAAAGCCCAGGCTTGTTAAACAAAATGCTGCTGGATTACCAGATGTTATTGGCGAGGGCACTCCATGTAAAATAATGCAATCCGTCCAACCCAAAAAAGCAACACTATACACAATCTCATTATACGTTTCCATGGAGCATTATGGGTAAAAACCAATATAAGCGGAACTCCAACGTGAGTCCCCACATAAAGATAAAACACGTTATTTTGAACCACCACGCAAACTCCGATCATCCACGCAGCGGCTTTTGGCTAACCACCGAACACAGACGGTCGCAGCATTGCGCGCTTTCGGATGCGCTTCTGCGGCCGTCTGGAACGCCCTTCCTTCCGATATTAGGAAGCCACTGGAGCTATGCACTTTTAAATCATCTAGATTGAAAACTCATTTGTTTACAAGTGCTTTTGTGTTTAGTTTGTTGTCCTTTCCCCACACTTCCGATTAGCACGGCTGGCTACGGTACGATCCGAAATGAGTTCAACATACACACATACAAATTATTGGCATTCCACACCAATATTCTCAAGCAGCATTTCGTCAGCAGTGAACACGACACTCACCACCAGGTAAATAAGTTACGACTGATGTGAGATGGCTGAAGGTTTAAATTGTAACAGGAAATTATCTTGGTAAAAAAACCCATACCAATTTAACCATCTCTTCACTCATTATTTGCATTTTTTCCCTTCTTGATTGTTATCCTGTTTGAAAAAAGTTAATGATTCAAAAACCCACAACGTCTTAATTATTAACCAAAAACACAATGAAAACACCATAAAACTTTAACTCAACTATAGTTATAGACAAAGTGCCAATGGGCACAATGTTTTCAAGAGAGACCAACTATTTTACAACCAAGATGCACAGAAACCAGACCACCACCAGCACCAGCAGCACTACCAGCAGCACCACCAGCACCAACAGCATCAACTAACCAGCCATGTGGCAATAGTTGCTGTCAGAGCGCTGTGTCTTACTGTATGATAATGATGCATGATTGGTATGAGGCGGAGGAGGAGATGGCAAAACACTCAAGAATGCCGAACCAGAGGCCTGAGTACACATGTGGTGCAGGAAAGAAAAACAAAATGTTTTGGGAGTTTGACATTTTAAAGCAGATTTCTACACCAATGTAAACAAAAAAGAACTCGACACAAAGTCAGTTAAAAGTGGGCCCCAAAAAGAATCAAGTAGGCCCCCTCCACCCCCCCCAAAAAATGCACGCCAGGTGTGATTTTTCAAGATCCGTTTACTAACAAATCAAAGACGAGGCTGCATACATGCAAGGCAGCAGGTCAAACTGTTGTGGGAAGGAGACTTAATCTTAAGGTCAGGCGAACCGAGTTTCCGGCTTATAATGACGCCGAGCCTTACAGGAATTTATTTCACGTGATCACACAACAGGGGGCGGTCAATAAATATGAATTTGGCCAACGAATAATTCACCCAAAATGCACCCGATATTGTCACGTCTTGGGAAAGCCATCCCATAGTTGGGGCCAGGTTGCCATAGACCGCTGTGGTGCTGTGCTCTGTGGTGGTGGTGGTCGCCGTCAGCAGGTGGCAGTGCAGCAAAATCACGGTTGTATGCCACCGCAATTTTTGCTCCCCCACCTTCACCAAAAACCCTCACTGGCGAATCACGGTGGAAGTGTGGTCCAATAACTCCCAAGACCCACGGGGCATGGGGGAAGCCCTGAAACAGCAGTGGTTTAAAAAAAAGGTAGTAAGTGTACACTCTGCAGAAATGTCAACAAAGTAATAGATTACTTTAACGGATTTGAGCATTGAATATTTTTAACACCCTGCGTCATTTCCCACGTACTAAAATATTAATGTTAGCCCATCACACACATGCTGTTTTAAGCTTGGAAATAGTTTTGCCATCCATTACCCACACGTGATTCTTTTACAACACACACACTGTTGTAACAGCACACAGTAACGGTTCAACAAGCAAGGGAAAATAATCAGGAACTAAAA